TATACACAGAGTGTTTCAGAAAAGCTGGTCGTGGTCAAGGTGGTTTGGGAGAGGTAGATCGCCTGATAACTCTATGACGTCATCTGATGTATGGGTGTCACAACACAATGCAAATCTCCATAAGGCACCCCAGATGCGTCATCAAGTTACCCATTACCAGACAACCTATTAACTTGAGGAATCTTGGTCATGGTTCAACGTTCAACTCTCCCATTTTAAATGAATACTATGTATATTATTGAATGAATATCCGGATTGTATTTCTACAACGTCAAATTCTGAGCAGATTTCATGTCATATACCCTTCACCTAAATTCAACTTTTTTGGAAATATTGACAGTTTAAACTTACCTTTTTGCAAATTTTACAGGCTTTAGAACCCTAACGGTTTATTTTAGAGCAAAACCTTACATTCATATACCATCATTCAACACCAACTTTGAATTCAACCAGAGATTAAATTTAATTCGAATTTTCAATCATGGAATGTATCTCTCTCAATCAAGCGACAAGCATGTGCGTATCCCCCTTCCGGTCGTGGCTGATACGCTGTTCATACTCCCCTTACGCGATCAGAATTCTCGTAAAGCAAAGAGGTTTTACTTCAATAATACCTAAAAAAAAATTATACCCGAGGCGTGCTTTTTTAAAGACTTTTGGGTAAAAATTTGAGCAGTCGTGACACTCAAAAATGTTCGGGGTCCCTTTAGGGGGGCCAATCAAAATGGCTGTACTGGGGCCCGCGCGTGCTTCGCACGGCCCTGACAATATACATGATGTTCCATTTAAAAAAATATAACTTAGCTCTGCTACACTTTTTTGACGCATCCTGTATGCTTGATACTGACTAGTTGAAAACTTTTGATAATTTCTTGAAACTTCTGTAAGTGACACTTTTGTCAAAAACATCAAATGATAAAGTTAGGAGGAGGTGACATTTATAATAGATGACCCTGTACAAAAATACTGAGTTCCTAGGTATTTAAAGCTGTATTTACAAAAATTCGTGTTGGAATTATTATATTCTTTTCGTTTTTTTTTTTATGATAAACGGAAAATGAGGATATAAAGGTGAGTTTACAAATGCATGGATTTAGTCGCGCCAGTTCTATTTGCACGCCAGTAAAGGTTTACACTTTGTGTGAAAAACAGAAATAAGTGGCACGCCAGTTTCACTTTTAAAGTGCTTTTCTCAGTGTGCACTATGTCGAGTGAACTTTCCGAAGCCTGTAAAATAGTCGTTAAACTTTTAGGAAAAAAAAAATATAAAAGAAATACAGAAAATGAAACGCAACCAACGAAATGGCCGTTTCTGGGTTGAACCATGGATTGGTAGTCGACCCACTTTAGCTGCTTCTGCAAAACTTCTAGGAGAACTCGCAGCAACCGAAATGAAAGTCAAACGAAAAACTGGCGAGCGGACGCCGACGTGCAAGCACTTGTTTACACTTGCAAGTTTTGATTTTCTGTACGAATTTGTCACCACTGGCGCCAGTGATTTCAGAAGGATGCAGACTTTTTTGGACTATGCATGCAAATATAAAATGTGTATGCAAGTCCATGTTTACACTTGCTAATAAAATTTACTGGCGGGCCAGTTTTTATTGGCGCCACTAAATCCATGCATCATGCATGTGTAAACGCACCTTAATGCTCGCTTTCCTGTTAGACATGGTAAGAATCAAGAATTAATATTTGTTGATTAAAAAATATCGTGTAATTTCATAATTATTTTTGAAAAAATTGAAAAAAAAAATCAATTCCTAATTTTCAATTTGAATGGTTATTTTTAGTCGAAGAAATCGAACAGTTCCACACTATGGGCCAAATACTCGATGCTGAAATCAATGCTGATAGTCAATGAAAACGTCGGAATCTCAAAATTTCCGAAAGTTATAGCCTTCCTGAAAAAAGAATCCATTGGTCATCGACCCAACCAGTCGAAGGTTTTAACAAGGGAAGAAGGCGACAGATTCATGCAAGATGCGCCAACGGAGACATTTTTATTGATAAAGGTTAGCTTTTTCAGCTTTTATTTAACGATATTAGCTTCGACCATTGAACACTCTCTCTATCTAGACTAATAACGATAATAATGTGCTATAGAATTTGTTTGGTTCCAGAATGAGACCAGGCCCTCTTTCTCGCACTTATGAAAATAGAATGTTTATAAACCAGTCTGTTTATGTTTTGGGTATCAGAGAGCTGCGTTCGAAAACCTGGTTGTTGGTGTGGAAATTATTTCAGGGAGTGCATCTTCAAAATGTGAGTTTAAATTTCACTCTAGAGTATTCGGTGCGCACATCAATACGTGTCAAACATCCTTCCGAACGCCGAAAACCACATGATTTTAATCCACACTTCGCCTTTCCGAACGGCAGCTGTGTGATTTTTATACGACACACCAGGTTCTCGAACGCAGTCAGCTGATTTGTCACAAGAAAGGAGAGAACACAAAACAATTACTACGTCATTGCCAGACTGTAAAATCTTTCTTTAGAAGTAGGTACGTAGTTCCATTTAAAACCAAATTGAGTCGTGATAAAAGGTATTGTTGTTTTAGAATTATTTTAAGTATAGGCTTGAAAAGTCGCAAGTATATTTTTAATATTATTATAGGCAGACAAATTTGAAATAGATACTTTTCGATAGATGACGATATTCATTATTATCGAGATTATTATTCGAACAGGAAAAAATTCGGCAACAGGGCCTTTTTTCGTTTTGTTTATCGGATGAATCACCCCTCTGATCCCGCTACCTCATTATGGAACCAAACAAATATGCTTGTTGATCCCTCTAGCAGTTTAAAGCTCGATGGTTATTATTATATTACATACCGAGTAGGGAAGTGTTTCATTACTGTCGAGAGATTGACTATTAATCTCGAGACAGAAATGAAAACTTTCCTCCGAGGTTTGTATACTATTTTATTTGCAAGCACACCATTAATTATGATTAGTCAATCAATTTTTTTAATATTAAAAAAATTAAACAAACATGCCAAAATGTGTCATTCACAGCTTTGACGTTTTTACCTGACAAGTTCTGTTCTCATGGTTGCCAGCAAAGGTAAATAAATTAGAGTGAGGGAAATCGAAGAGGGAAGTGACACAGGTAAAGTGTCACTTCCAAATTTTTAAAAAGTCAGTAATGACAAGATTACATATATGATTGCAAATAATAGTATATTACATACCGAGTAGGGAAGTGTTTCATTACTGTCGAGAGATTTACATAGTCAATCGAGACGCGAAGCGTCGAGATTGACTATTAATCTCGAGACAGAAATGAAAACATTTCTCCGAGGTTTGTATACTATTTTATTTGCAATTATGATTAGTCATTCGATTTTTCTAATAATAAAAAAAAAAAACAAACATGCCAAAATATGTCATTCACCTGTTTTGACGTTTTTACCTGACATGTTCTCATTGTTGCCAGCAAAGGTAAATAAATTAGAGTGAGGGAAATCGGTGAGGGAAGTTGAATAGGGAAATCGGTGAGGGAAATCGAAGAGGGAAGTGACACAGCTAAAGTGTCACTTTCAAATTTTTAAAAAGTCAGTAATGTCGAGATTACATATATGGTTGCAAATAAAAGTAATTTTCACTATCTATAATAAGTATGTGTCATAATAGTATGTGTCATAAGTATTCTGTATTGTTTCAGGTAATAGCACTGCTGGGCATCTGTGGAGGCTGTAGGAGGGACAAACTCTACAAACTGAATAAAGAGGACATAGAGGATACAGGGTCCCAGTTGATTGTAAGCATTAACCAGACGAAAACATACGTGAAAAGGGTGTTCACAGTAATAGAAGAAAATTTTCTGAAAAATTTTTCATCACTATCGCATTCTGCGTCCCAAAAACGTACCAGAAAAGGCATTCTTCGTATGTTATAGTAAAGGCAAATGTATAGGCCAAAGAGTGGGTATACATTCGATTGGAGGAGCACCCCGAAAAATTGCCGAATTTCTGAATTTGGATAGTCCTGAATAATACAAAGGGCATTGTTTTAGACGGACGTCTGCGACCCTTCTAGCCAACGCCCAACGCTGGGGCCGACATTAATATTTTAATACGTCACGGTGGATGGAAGGGCAGCAGTGTGGTGGAAAAATACGTAGGAGGAGTCTTTGCAAACAAAAACAAAGGTGGCCAGAATGATTCAAGGAGGAGAAACTTTCGTGGAAGTTCTTCAAAGTCATCAATCTTCCCAACTGCTTACCAAAGAACGCGAAGATCAATCTGCTCCTGCCGCTTTGAAAATATCCGATAATTCCAATTGCAGTATAACTGTTCATGTTTATAAGTAGGTATAGGTAGTTATAAATAAAATATTTGTTGAAAAATAAGCCTTGTCTTTGTAAAATTGCAAATTTTCGATTTCAGTTCGGGAAAATGATTTCCCGGACTAGTGATGCAATGTACCATTTCCCGGACTGAAATCGATAACGTAATGGAGCATATTACAATACAGTATGAAATAAACAAATGTATGTTACTCTTTAATCCCAAATCAAAACAAAAAATCGAAAAAAAAATTAGACGAAGATAAGCTTACGTCAATTTGTGATTGTGTAGAATGAAAAGGGAAAATAGCAAGACCAAAAGGGTCTTTCTATTTCTTTTGACACGAGCAGGTAGTTCGGGGTAGCGATTCTAGCCGAGTGGGGTTATGGACTTTAGGGAGTTCCGTTTCGTCCGTAAGCAGATGTCTAAAAGACGTCTTGAATGTCGTTCGTCGACGTCTTTAAGATGCCTTTGTACTATCTGGGTACTAGACACATATAGGGAGTAATAAGACGAATTAAGCTTGTACTTGGTTTAGGCGAATCGAGGCGGTATTTCCAAAACCGAGTATAGTCGATCCTACAATAAATGGCTATCAGTCAACTGGCCCCATCCCATTAAAACCTATGTGTCTGGTAGCATATTATGGTTCTGTTTGTATTATGTGAAGTATGAGTAACTGACGGGAATAAATAAATCTTACCTAATTGAACGCAACTCTCACTCACGCTGCTCAGCAGATCGCCTATCAAAGCATCTCTTAACAATTCGTCACATTCAGTCACTTGAGGAAATGGTATTACCGATAGTTTTTCACCAAGCACCACAACCGGTTCTATTTGAAATGATGTCAGTTCGTCTCCAATACCAATCGATTTGCCTTTTTGAAAATATTGTGGCACTTTTTTTGAGATGTGATGGCAGTATTTTTGACCATAGTAAAGAAGCTTCCACATACCATCGAAATTTCCTAAAAAAAAAAAAATCATAATTCAAGCTTTATTGGTTTGACGATAAACCTTTTTTCATCTCCCTTTCAAAAATTTTGAAAAAGCCACTCAAAACTAAGGGATCTTGATTGACAACTTTTATCCCATCGAAAAGTTCAATCATTTCGTAGAAACACAGGATAGTCAAAATGCGATTCAGTTGCAAAGAAGACTCGCCATTGTTTGATAATAACGTTAAAGTTTCACATGAGTCTCGCAGGGTCAAAAAATATTTGAGAGCATCCGAAGTCGTTTCGTTATTCGCCCAAAGTCGCTCAAGGATTTCAATAAGACATTTAACAGTTGGTGGGAAATTTTGGTACTCTTCTGGATTGACCAGTTCGATTGGTTGTTTTTTCGTTTTTGGATAATGCTTGTCGGCAGAGCAAATTATAGGCTGAATCATTTGTTTGACTACGTGCTGGCAAATTTTCGGGGCACATTTTGAGGTGTTTTGAAGGAATTTCGATAATATGTGGTAACTGAAAACCAATTAAATTGCATTTACCTGGAAACCACATACATATTCTATTTGTTATTTGAGTGTCTTACATTTTTTGATTAATATCATCACAATTGTCGTCCTGGCACTGCAACACCAAATTCCAAATATTTTTCCAATATTGAGTTTCCAGTGTCCATTTCAATCCTGCATCGTGTTCAACGAACGAACACAACATGTCCATGTAACGTACCTTCACTAGGGTACTCGTAGTAGTTTCAGTCATTTTTACTAGTGAATTATAAGTGTCATTAGTGTTTATTTTGATAAATGTTTGTTCGTTATAGGACATGATTCTTGCTACAGCTAGAAGCAAGATTTTTTGTTCAGTGGTGGGCCAGTGTTTGAGTTTGTCATAGAGCTGCGGAATTTTTATTAGGAATGAGATGTAGCGTTGTTTTTCATTGTCAGTAATTTCAAAATCAATGCCGTCTCCTGGAAAACAAACAGTTCAGTCGATAAGATTTTTGTTACATTTGGAAGATTACCTGAGCATTTGTTCCAACGATGATTATTCTGATTGTAATCCAATTTGGAATCAGATTCTAATCCGTTTTGAAAATATTGATACCATTCTGTGTCAGTGTCGTTATTAACAGTGGTATCCTTCCAATCCATACCTATATGGATATATTTTTTTGTTAGATACCTACCTATAAGAATAACTTGGTTTGTTAGAACTTTTTCTGAATGATTTTTTTCTATTTGCATGCAACAATAATTATTATTAGTTTTTAAAGAAACGATTTTTTTTTCTGAAAATAACATTACGTGAATAATTCATTTGTGGTCTGAGTACCTATTTATAAAACCAAACATTTCTGGACAAAGTCATTATTTCGACATCTCTCATACCAGACCCAATATTTTGTTACAATCTTCACCCAATCTTGATAGGTAAATAATAATAAAAAGTAAATTATCACTTTGGAGTGGTTTACCTAAATGACGTGTTGGTACTTTCAAAATAAAACAAAAAATCCTTACCTAATTAAATATTTGTGTATAGCTATAATATACTACTTAATTCTACTTATAATACAATACAATCACTAAAACCACAGTTCATACTTGTAATCTACAATATCTATGTAAAATACGCACGCATCGAGGCACGCATACTATCATCATGAGATTGGGAAATAATAATAATAATAAAGTATAGCCTTAGGCAGGTACCAACTTTTTATAATAAATTGGTTTGTCCTTGAATTAATATTTCAGCCAAATATTTTGTTAATGTTTTTTTAATAACAATTATTGTTAATACTGCTCCGCAACATGAATTAAGACAAGAAGAAACATGTTTCAATTTACTTACTGCGCTTTATCTAGGATACACACAAAGTCAAAAGTCAACGAATATATGAGTCTACTTACTATTATTTATCTATTTACCTACAGATTTTAATAAATTTCTCATTCGTTTTACATAATTTTAAAGATTTTTTTACGTATAAGTAGTAGCAAAGAATGTAGTAGGTATAACTAGTTTTCGTCTTCTTTGTGAAGTTTGAAAATGTCAAGCTAGAATTATCGCTCGTGTTTAGTTTTGTCTTATCTCACTGCACTGTTTACTAGCTCCACTGATACTTGATACCGCTAATCTGAATTACAATCGAGTTTTCGATTGATAAGCCTCTAGTCCAGACCTACATGCATTTGCCCACCAACATTTAAACATTTGTATAAAAACTGTTTAAAAACTGTATAAGAGCTGTTTAAAATGTGTTTGCAAATATTTGTTTGAAAACATTTGTTTAAAGTTTTTTGTTTCTCGCCAGGATGGGAAACTTTGTTTTTATACTCGCTTTCGAAGCACGTCTGGATGCGTTTAAAGCAAATGTTAGTTGTTTAAGCAATCGTATCAGTGGTGGTGCTATTTGGTGACATATATTTTTGCCTTTAGTCTGGACGCAATTGCTACCTCGTTTAAAAACTAAATATTCTTTGAAACAAAACTCCTACAGAAGTGTATAAATACACTCATCAAAAAAGTCTAGGGAACAAGAAATATTCGTCTTTTAATTTTTAGGCACAATACTTTTTTTAAAAAGATACCATATGGGTATTAGTTGAACAAATCTTGTAAAATTTATCATATCGGCTTTTCCAGCAGGCTTTAACAAAATTTAAAAATCTTTGAAAGACATATTTTGTTCAATTTATAAATGTATTCAGTTGCATCTTGTTCCCTAGACTATTTTGATGTGTGTATTTCGTTTAGGGGCAAATGTTTCCACACATTTGTTTGTGGGCAGTGTGTAGGTCTGGACTAGGCTTTTCACATAAGCGGGTTCGTCGTAGAGATATAAGTGAAACTACTTTTCCAGTATTTTATAATTTACTTTTATTCAGAGTTCAATTCACCACCAATTGATTTTTGAATTCAATTTGTGAATTTTTAGTCATCAGAGGAAAATATGTAAAGTCCGTCGTTTTAATCTTAGACTTTCCGTATGCGAAGCGAGGGGGTGTTTCATATGGCAAAAACAGTTGTGACGTCAGGTAACCAGCGTTCTTATGTAAGGAGCCACCAGCTCACATTCCTTTGGAGTATCAGATTAAAATCGACAGACTATAGAGCACATGATTTTCGTTGTAAACCCTTATTGTAGAACCACCAATAACAAAAGCTCTCACTCTCTTCTAAATAATGAAAGTTTACCAGCGAAGATCAGTTGGGAGAATGAAGATCAGCAGATAAATATAGATGCTCTGAAACCATACCAGAGGGCTGTCTCCACACATGAAGTAATAACTTTTTTTCTAACATATAGATAGCTGAAATTTCCTGAGGTCCAATTTGACCATATGGAAGGAAGACCCTTTTATTTGGACATACATTTTTGAAAACTGAAGAATCATAACTTTTTTTCTATCGTAGATAGAAAGCTGAAATTTTCAGCGATTCTTATACCAGTAGAGGACAACTCATTTGGAATAATAGTTCCTGAGAAAAAATTAATGTATTTGGCGGCCGTCTTTCAAACGTCTGCCTAAAGACGCTGTTTGTAATACATAAACCAAAAGTCCAGCATAGACTGCATGATCTTTCTATTTCGGTATTTAGTTGCTCTAAAAAAATTATCCAATGGATAAAGGAGCCATAGATAATCAAAATTTGAACTATTACCGGCCCTTGATTCTTTGGAAAACCTTCCTAGAGCCAATCAAATGTCGGTAATAGTCAAAATTTGAACTTCTATCAACTCTGGATTCGCAAGAGAATTTTTCCAAGGGCATCCAAAGCTCAAGAGCCGATAATAATCGAAATTTCGAATAATCATTAGCAGCTCTTAAGTTAATATTGTTGGGAAATGGACTAAGAAATAAAAGAACTTGTTAATTATCGATATTCAATATATTTATTATATCGAACACAGAGTGGAAAGCAGAGCGTGTGAACTCGTAGAAATAACTATACGAACTGACTCAACATCAAGACAAAGAATTACAAACCCTTTCTTAAGTAAACGATTCCTCATGTGTTTAACTTACATATAAAAACTATTATAAACACATTCAGTCATCCATAGCTGCGATATAAATTAGCAAAGTATAGGCTAATATTCAAAGTTTAATTTATTAATTTTTGTTTCACTGATATGAATATCAGTTTATCCAACACGCCACCTCAAAAATTTGATCAATTATACTAAAAGTGTAATACAACTTAAACCTAGTATAACATAAATAGGCCTGCTTTCCTTATGTGTGTCTTGTCTGGGGAAAATTACTATAACGGTCCAGCATTTGCTGCTCGGGATTAGGGAAAACCCAGAAAAACCTAATCAAACCATTTAACTTATTTACTAAGCCTAATTCCATTCTAATTTCTCAAATTTCTCTTGCATCAATGGTTTGGTAAAGATGTCTGCTAGTGGTTTATCTGTGGACAAATTAATATTTTATATTAATTACGATCGATTCAATATGATTTAATCTTTTGTGATTTGTTGGATTATTTGTAATACTTATTGAGGTCTATTGATGTCCTCCTAGGTCATAATTGACTCTGGTATTGATGTTTATGCATATTTTCTGCTAATGATTTTAACCAAAGTTCCTCTTGAAAAAGAAAAACCATATATTCGGCTTCAGTAGATGATGCCGTTACTGACAACTGCCTTTTTGTATTCCAACATATCACACAAATTTCAAACAGTTTAAATAAATATCCTGATGTGCTTTTTATATTGTTTATATTATCATCTCCTCCTTCCTAGTCAAGATTAATAGAATCACTCAAGAAATTGATACATTCAGGAAACCTCCCATACATTCACAAGTAAAATATTGTGTCAACTTCACATTGATTTTACCCTTAAAATATATAAGGACCCTTTTCAAATATTGCCAAAACTCTTTATTATTCTTGTTTTAATACCTGCTCAAAATATTAACAGTGGTACTTAAATCAGGCTTGATATACATAACATAATATGCATTAAACAGACGATTAGATTCCGGCAAGGGCTATCATGTTTTACTTCTGAATTTAAACCAATCAAATTCAGTTTACTAGGAAGTGGAGTGCTGAAACAGCTGATGGCACAACAGTCATTCATATTAAATTTATGTGAAATAGTTTTCATGTACATTTGAACTGTACCTATATGAAAATTGATCAAGAGTAGATAATTTTATTTTTGATTACCTTTTAATTTTATTACCCAAAAATAGTTTACTGTCTTTCAAATAAAACATAGAACAGTTATTTACCAAATCCCTTTTTAAACTAGTCAATGTATTATTATCTGCAGTGGCAAATACCATCTACAGAACTACATAAATAATTTTACATATTGCACCTTTGTCTAAGATATAAATACAGTAGTTAACTGATGAATTTTCAAACCCATTTTCTTTATGAACGTTTATTATTATTGCAAACTAACATCTAGTGGTTTGTTTTAGTTCATAGATACAAAGCCTTGCAAACTTGGTTAGGAGGTTTACTTGTCACACCTTGAGCCAGCTACCCTTCAGCCTTCAGGAACCTTCATAAAAATGGCTTCCTTCAATGACCCATCTGGGAAAGCTGTTTTTACATCCATATGATGTATTAAAAGGACAAACTGATTAAAAACGTTATTATAAACCAGAAACCTACGATTCTCGCCACCTGTGCAAAGATTTCATTATAATGTACCAAGTAATGTTGACTTAAACCACGAGCATCTAAATTTCATCATTTTCAATGGAAAATATCCATTTACAATCCACTATATTTTTATATTCGGGTCTTGATACTAACGACTACGTTTTATTTACCAATAATGAGCGAATCAATATCATTTGGCAGATCTGTTTTAATCACAGATTTACTATACTCATTATTTAGTTTAATGAGTTTATTAGGGTTAACATTTACCTACTTTCTTGAATTGTTACTCATCTGATTTAGCTATATCAGATTTAATAATTAAACCACCGATCTTGACAAATTGCCACTTTCAGGGGAAAGGTTTTATTAGACTATCCAAGATGCTGTCGAACTCAAATTAAAATGTCCGCCAAGAGGCACACAAACCCTTTGTTTGCTTGTCAAAGTCACGTGTTTTGGATAGGCTAATTACCAAAGTGTTACATTCATTTTTGACACTTTTCCAGTTTAGTTCAGTTCAGTTTATTAATAACTACTGATCTTGACAAACAATCAGAGGAAACAGCTTTATCATCAAAGTGTTTCACATTCACTTTTTCATAATCACTATCAACTACTAATATTGACTTACTCGAAACCCTGATTGAAAATCACTGAATAGTTTATTTCTATCTACCTATAAACTCAATAAGTTGCATATACACCATTTTCCCCAAAATTTTGTCAATAGTGCAAAACAAATTTATTGGATGCAATTCAATGGAGGATTTTAATTTAACTACTTTGGGAATCGTGATTATAGTGGAAACTGAATGAATATCATTTGGCAGATCTGTTTTAACCACAGATTTACTATAATCATTCATTATATAGTTTCATAAGTTTGTGGGTTAACAGTTAGCTACTTTCTTGGATTGGTTGGTCATCTGATTTTGCTTTATCAAATTTATTAACCAGCAATCTTGGCAAACTGTCAAAGGAATCAGTTTCATCACCAAAGTGTTATGCATTCACTTTTTCAAACATCATTAACTAACCACTGATATTGACAAACAGTCAGAAAAATTGGCTCTATGACCATAAAAGTTATACATTTACTTTTCAAGCTTATTAGTTACTACTGATTTTGACAAACAGTCAGAGAAATCAGCTTTTACAAATAAAGTGTTTTATTCACTTTTTCAAGCTTGTTAGTAATTACTGATCTCGACAAATAGTCAGAGGAATCAGCTTTATGACCATAAGTGTTCTGCATTTACTTTTTCAAGTTTATGATTAACTACTGTTCTTGACAAATAGTCAGAGGAATCAGCTTTATAATCAAAGTGTTCTACATTCACTTTTTCAAGCTTATTATTAACTACCTACTGTTCTTGACAAATAGTCAGAGGAATCAGCTTTATGCAGATTAATAGGCTTGGAGGAC